TTATTATTATTATTATTATTATTATTATTATTATTATTATTATTATTATTATTATTATTATTATTATTATTATTATAGGAGTTTTTTATTTATTAAAGAAAAACAACCTTTTTTTATAAAGTTATCACTATTTACTATTGACCATTACCTTATATCGTTTAATTACAGTATACAGGTGAACTTGTTTAAACCGGCGCTGATTATAAACCGGTGTTGGGTTTAATCGGCGCCTCATGACTACATATACAACCAATTTTTCATTAATTAGGAATTTTCTCTATTAAACAAGTTTCTGATTTCCTTTCTCGAACAAGTGTCAATAAATTTATATTATTTTATAGCTAATAATTGTAGTTTAAGATATCCTTGTTGCAGTGTGAGAAGGAAATGAAAGCTTCACTTGCATAATAATAATTAATAATAAATGATTGACATAGACATAAATCGTATTAGTATTTATATTTTTGGCGATTGCGTTCCTTGTTGATTGCAGTATTTATTATTATATACTGTATATACTGTGGAGGATATAACAATCGTTAATATCTTGAATTGATGATGTTAAACTACAATTATTTAACTTTAAAAATGTGGAGAGTTAACGATTTGAAAAGTTTGATATTTTATATGTTTACTAGTAAAATCTTGTAACGTAAACGTACTTATACATTGTGTAGTAAGAAAATCGTCTCATAATTTGCAAGTGTCCATTCATTTATGTACAAGCATTTCCAGAAGTACGTGAAACATGCCTGAAACGATGTCTTTAAACTTCCCTGAATTGGGTACCAACTGTCTCAAAAGGCTAAGGCGAAATGAATATTCCGTCCTCAAATCTATTACATCACTTTCTAGTTCAATATCTGTATAACAATATTAATATCTTGTACTTGTTTGAGTAAATCTATTTATCAGAATAAGTTATATTGTAGAATATGATGGACAATTATAATAACTCAGAATAAGCGCAGTTATGATAATAAGTGTGAAGGTGAATTCAGGAGAGCACTGGTAGTGAGAACTAGTCCGGAACAATATTTATGAAACTTGCTGCGCTAGTGTTTGGTGCACTGCAGGTCTCATCCATTCGATAAACTTAAGGGTATGGTTTCCAGAGAAACCAGAGTTGACTGTGATGTGTAAACAGGTTGCATCCATTCGATAGATTGGATCTTCTTATTACCGGAGAACATTTCCTGAAAACCTAGAGCTGACCGTGAAATAATAGAGTCTGTCCTAGATTTTCTTTGTTCGTAAGCTTTTATTTGACTATGTAAATTTCTTAGGCGATCTCGCACGACATCACAGGTCGGTCTTGTGTTGGGGTCATCATGCCAACATTCCGAATAAAGGCGCAAATACTCTTTTGGTGTATTACGAGCAGAAGGTTCACGATTATCTTGAATTCTTCTACTCATGACTTGTACATCTGTTTGGCCATCGTATGGTGGCTTTCCTGTAGAAATTTCCCATAAAACGACCCCAAGACTAAATATGTCAGACTTTTTACTGCGAATATAGTCAGGATATTTCAAGCACATAGGATCCATATACGCGAGCGTCCCTCCTCTAGTAGAGCTAGCGGTCTGTTCCCTGATAAATCCAGCGAGACCAAAGTCAGTAATCTTCGCAACTCCCCTTTGGACAAGGATGTTCCGTGATGACTAGAAGCAATAATTAAAATTTAGATAACGTGCATGATGGCGAATAATGGGCTCGACAGTTATAATCTGGAACTAATAAACGTACCAGATCTTTGTGTAAAATATCTCGCCAATGAAGGTAATGTAGGCCTTTAGCAACATCTAATCCGAGCTTATATTTATCAGCCCAACGCAAATTCGCGAAATGCGCACATAGATGGTCTTGCAGGGTGCATTCAGCATATTCAAAAACCATCGAATATATTCCGTTTTCGCCTAAATTTCTTGTTTAAATATTGATTTATAGCAGTGGTCATTACTTTTGTTTTCAGGTATTTACCCTCGCCCAGTCCAAGAAATCGAATAATGTTAGGATGGTCGTCTACCTGTCGGTGAGTTCTAACCTTGACACAATGAGAAACTAATGAGCATGTATATAATGACGCATTCTTATCTAGTGTAAATACTAACTTCTCTCACAAATATCGAATAAATTTCCTCCTTCCCTACGGAAGGCGGGAAAGGTAGTAATTGCTTTATAGCAATTTCGATATCACACTGTTTTACTGTTGCTTTGTAGACTACAGCATATCCTCCTCTTCCAATTATATCACGATTTGTCAGGTTTTCGTATTCATAATAACGGATATACTGCTCGGTAATGCTTCTCTTCAACCACTGTTCATTAACATTAGTACTCATGGTTTCAGTCGGCGGACTTTCATTTCGATGTTAAATTGTTAAAATCACGTGTCACTAACGCCAATCAACCTACACTCACTACCAAAAAGTATTGGCCGAAATTTGTCGATCAATAGTAAAACATATGAAAAATCCAATTTCTCAAAAATCTGTATTGGCGTTATTTACTAAACAAACAACAAAAATTTTTATATTTTTATGAAGCTGATTGACTGCAGTTTTCGAATAAAATACTGACAAATTTACACAGCTTATCATACCGGAGCTGTGCTTCGGTGAAATAACGATATGTAGGTTACACATATGTAATCATATGAAAAATGTATGTGTAACATATTACTGCCACTTCATCGAACTGTAGCTTTATAACAATGAAAGGTTTAAATATTTTATTATTTTCCCCTAAAAGTACAGTCAATCAGCTTCATAACGATGTAAAAATTTTTGTTGTTTGTTTAGTAAATAACGCCAATACAGATTTTTGAAAAATTAAATTTTTCATATGTTTTACTATTGATCGACAAATTTCGGCCAATACTTTTTGGTAGTGAGTGTATTTTGAATTGCCTGTCCTCTTTGTTATTACTATTGTAGTATTAGTAAATGCAGTAAACATTCCCATTCTTTGCAAAGCGATTGACAGTGTTAAATTTGAATACGGTTATTCCAACGATGAATACTCTGTAATACAATGAGTATGTTAACATTCTCGAGTTTCAACGCTATAGTATATCAACTACAAATTTCGTTAAATTGCTGTACAACGTTGATCACGGGATGCGACCGTCCAGACACGTTTTTGCTTTTAAAACACTACATTCCTAATGAGAAACCAGTGGATGAAACTATCTGTCCTGAAACGAAATCTTCTCATTCAAATTCGCCAGCTTACCACCAACCCTTCCCCCCAAAATCATTTCCTTACAAAGCCCAACTGGTCAGTGAAATTTCTTTTGCCCTCTACCTCAAATGATACCATAATCGACGATAAAACTTTATCACATCTGCTGCGGCTTTCAAGCCTCCGAATGCCATCTGATGATGCTGCTAAGAAGAGACTGGTATCAGACATCAATACGTTATATAATTTTGTAAAGCATATTCAAGAAGTAGACGTTGAAAACGTCGAGCCATTAAGAAGCATATGGCCGCTGAACACTAGTTTGATGATGAGGGATGATGTCGAAAAGGAAGACGTTTCCGGAGAGGAATTACTTAAATGCGCAGAAAGGACGCACGGAAAGTTTTATGTGGTTGACAACCCAAAGGTTTGATTAAACACTGTATCTGAGATCAATGACATCAATGCTGGCGTCATTAATAACAATATACGTGACTAGGAAACAAAAGCTAGCTTGGAATATCAATTTTAATACATGGTGTTTTGTGTTTAATATTTGATAACATGGGACATCATTCTATAGACACTCCATAAACTCGTGATTTGATACGATTCATTATAAGCTCATGTACTACAAAAAGTTGGAAAATAACAAGAAAGTATTAAACTAAGAATTGAATGCTTTTAATACTTGATCGATCAAATTTCCGACAATATACCTCATCTTCATCTTCTTCGTCGCTATCATGTTGCCTCCTAGCAACCATTCTTGCCAACGATTTGTTTGGTCTCAACTCAGCTTCGACAACGATTTTGTCACACCCTAAAGAGCAAGATAAGTTTCAACATATACAAAAAGCTGGGATTTTCCCCACTATTCTTAAGCATAACTTTAATTCTTACCGGGAATAGGACATACAACACTTCCGTTATGAGCCCTTAACATCTGTAGTATGGCATCCTTTGAATAACTGTGTTTGCAACTGGTGCTCGATACCGGCTGAGAATACAAAGTCTGGGTGATTGGACAACGAAGAGAAATCTTTTCTCCTCCAATCACCAAATCATCATCCTTTTGGTTGAATGATGGCATTGGAGCATCTGGGTTCATTATTTCCTACGCAAAGCGAAAATAAATCTTTCTGATGAGTAATGATGAGATGGACAAACGATGACAATAATCGAATGGTAACAACGACGATGTTAAATCTAGCTTGGCCGTCTAATTCAAGAACATATGTACAGCAGGCTATTGTCATAATTAAGAATTGTCTTTTGATGGTTACCCATATTTTTTCTCGGAATGCAGTATATTCCTCATTCGCTGCATACTTTTGATCATTGGATAGCGTATCATATCGTTTTCTCGCATGATCCGTCTCCATCTCGTACACATCATATATGTTTCCCTGTGGGATATAATACAAAATGTCTTTAAACACGCTTTGCCATCCAAGCATATAACAAATAAGCTTACAATGTCCTCACTCGACTGGAGTCTGGATCTGATTTTCTGAATAGCGTCTTTCTCAATCTTGAAAGCTGCTTCAAGATCTATGACATCTTTTAAAACTGTTTCCATTTCCTCAACCTACAAATAAAACAGAGTAACTTTATCAAATAATTAAGCTTCTTACCATGCTTCTTCGTTCTCTTTCATCAATTCAAATAGCACACCTTCGCCAATGTCTACCTCGTCATTCAGCTTTGCTTCTGCCAAGTCACTGCCTACTTCGATCGCGTATTGGTATCCAATCTGCACATATTCAAGTGGTTTTGCAATTTCATTCAGTATGGGTATTAATTTAGTAAAGTCGTGCGAGACAGACAGTCCGGAAACTAGGTCTGCTTCCAGTTCGCCGGATGCGCTCTCATCAAGTGTGGTGCGAGAGGAAGATGCAACACTCGCCCGAGTACTGCGCTGGCGGCGGGTCATTATTATTATTATAGAGACAATATGATAAAGTAAACGCGTTTTTGGTACGAATAGAATTTTATTATAGTACTGCGGGTGATACAAAAATTTTCCCACGACCGTACAATAAATTATCAAATGTCGGGCAATATGTAATCTATAACTAGTTCAACAGCCCTTTCGATAGCGTCACGAACCCATTGGTTGTCTAGAACAAGATAAATGTCAGTATAATGCTTCGAGTGTCGAATTATTAAACTTTTCTTTTGTCAATTTACCCTCATTTGTTCTCGGACCAATGGCAGCATTGTCCATCAAATTAATATTTTTAAACTCGGGATGCGTCCTCATGAATTCAGCTCTTGCTTTCGTCGCAGCCTCTCTGACAACCTTTTCCTCATCTTCCGGTTTATATAAGTCGCATTTATTGCATTTCTTACATTTTTGTCCCGGTACCGGTCGGAAATGATCGCAGACTGTTTAAGGAAATGATGCAACACATTTATAAGACGGATTTAATCGAACAGAAAAAAAGGACTATTTGGTTGACTAATCATTAAATTCGACTTACAATGTGCATAGGATTCTTGTCGGAGGTCTTTTCTGCACAAGTAACACATCACGTATCCTGATATAAAGGCCAGAAGACATCAATAAGCAAAAGAAGATCACTAAATGAATAGAATTATCAGAAACTTGTTCTTACCACAACGGCAAGTCATCTTGTTACACCCATCAGCCTTTGTAAACGATACGTGACACTTTGGACACTAGATAGAAATCGATCGATTACGAAAACGTCAGTAACCAACATGCTTGAACAATCTTATTCTTAGTTATATACCATTTCCTACTTACTGTTCTCTTCACAGCTTCCGCCATAGCTCTTTCGACATACAATCGCAAACTATCCTGTTCTTTCTCGTAACATTTGTGATGAGGTCTACTCTCACGATTACACAATAAACAGGATATCTTGCCACATTCTGGATTCATACACCTGAATACATTTCCTCTTCTCCGTCTTCTTATCTAAAAACAAAGCATAATATTGCGTTAATTACGCCATACCATCAGTCTATAGAATAAATTTTGTCGCAATTTGTTTCGATTACTCACCCTTTTTATAATACCATCGATATGCTGTAATACAGACCTCCCCGTATGCACCCCTATAAACCCAAGTGCAATCTGGGGTATCGCAATAATAATTACAAAATTCAACAGACTCAACCCAATCACACCCAACAAAAAAAACACAAGCACCAGAGCAACAAGTACCAGAAATGGTCTTGGAATCCTTAACTGCCGCAGTGGATCGTCTTCGACCTCGGCATACTGACAGAACGGGCATTGTACGAGGGGAAGATTGCTCTGTTTTAGTGAATGTTCGGTGATCGATTCCGTATAGTGTTTGTATGTGTTTGAAGAGAGTGTTGCTCTCAACTGAGCGTCTCTGAAATATCCGTCACATTCACTTGCTTCGATGCATTTTATTCGCTTGCCTCTGAGCGACCCTTGCCCAAAGATACCTTCTTCTACTAATCGGTTTATACACTCTTTGCAAAACAAATGTCCCTCGCTACAAGTTGTCAGCTCTTCAAAAGTATAATCTCCGTAACAACATCCGCATGTTATTAATTGATCATTATTGTAGTATTCATCATGATTAAGTTCCTTTGCTATTTCATGGTCAGCAAGAGACTGCTTTTCTTTTTCTATCATATATAATCTTTCCAAATCGTTGTTTAACTCAGCATTGTCCAATTCTTTATATGATTTGCGTTTAAACACATTAAATAATGTGTTCCACCATCCGTTTGTGGAAAGATCTTTGAGCTTATTGTGGCTTCGTATATAGTCAAAGTTGTTCTCGGCCAAGACTGCTTTAATCGTTGATTTCCATATGTTGGGAAAGTCGTTATATAATTTACATCTTACCGCTTTAATATACGCGTCTGACCTTATATATTCCCAGGGCTCTATCTCAAAAGGTACCAACCTGCGAGGATAACCCTTGGAACTTTTTTCCAAAGTAATTAATTCTTCAGTCACTTGGTATACGTGATTGCTGTCGAAATTGTTGATCAAGTCTCGAATAAAGCTGACTTCACAGTCAGGAAATAGTTCATTGAGTTTATCGAGATGGGCATTCCTTGCTTCCGTAGATGTTGATGTTGTACAGTTGGGCGGTAGCTGAGGATAGAAACCGCAATTTGACGTACATATTTTTTCACTTATGCGTTCCACATGGTTATCGTTGTAATTATCTATGCAATAAAGCAAATACTGTTGATCTAGAGAAGAGCGAGGAAATGACAATTGCGGGTTAGAAAGGGTACAGGTAAGAGTAATCGAACAGTAAATTTGTAGTTTCGTCAAGAATGCATGATACAGTGTCGAAATGTGTCTCTTCGATTACTCTTTAAATGGAAAAGGATAACGGCTTTCAACTTGAAGGTCACTCTTACAAAAAACGACAATTCATGCGTCATTCTGGGTCATTATAGGTCGCTTGGGTCACCACTATCGAAAATACACTCAACCGTTGAGTTTCCAATACAACTCTACTTGACGATCCCAAAGGGACAACAAACTGACAGCTGCTCAACTCTACAGTACTCCGCGCATAATTCTTACCTGCATCGGGGAATAAAGCAATCAGTTGTTGAAAGATTACTTCCTTCTGAGGGTTAAAGGCCTCCTTCGACGACCCTTCCTTACTTCTTAATGACCCGAACAGTCCTACTTTAAGCATATCTCTGCTAAATTGTTCTACTGGTAATGACTGACGACTATTTTACAGAATTTTCAATAAATACTTGCAGAATGTTTTCTACGCTTCTCTTACTTCATCGTACAATATGATAAATAAACAGTTACGTCACAAAATCAAACATGTTGGGGTGGAAAATATATGCCTTCCCCCCAAGAGAATTTGACTGCGGCGCTAGCATAATTGGGGGGGATTTATCAACAAAAGTAGCGATAAATGTTACAAAGACCTTTCTTATTACGCAGTAATAATCCCAAAAATGAGCAGTCATGTGTTGTATCCCAAGCACACGCTTATAATCTATTTATGGGATCTTTGGAGAAAAATTGCATATTGTTTGTTTAGCTCAACGGCAAAGTACATGTTTGTCCAAATTGCATTGGTCACACGATGCCTAGCGTGGGATTATTTTTCAATGATCATCAAATATGTGGGAAAATTACAATAAAAAATTCTCATTTATTTGATTTTAGCAAAATATATTGTCTACTGAGGAATAATATTACACTATCGACTATACTTTTCTATTGTTCTACAAGTTACCACGAGCTTCCTGGTCTCTTTCTATAGCCTCAAACAGAGCCTTAAAGAACAATGAAATATTGTGTTAATATGCGATGATCCGAAACAGTTTGCATTATATGGAAATACATTCAGAACGGCATACCTTGAAATTACCGGCACCGAATCCTTGATGGTTTTTTCGCTGAATTACCTCTACAAAGAATGTTGGGCGGTCTTGCAATGGCTTGGTGAATATCTAAATCCGTAAATAATCGGTTTATGAGTAAACCAATCTCTTGTAATGACAAGATACTTTCGTTGCCACTCACCTGAAGCAAATACCCCTCATCATCGTAGTCAACTAGAATTTTTAATTTTTCCAGTATTCCTACATCTTCTGTAACTTTAATGCTCGCACTCTTTAACTTTTCCCTAAGACTTTCATAATAGCTCGAAGGTACATCCAAAAACTCAAGCCCTCTTGCTCGTAAATTAATTATTGCCGTAACAATATTATCGGTTCGTAATGCAATATGTTGCACTCCGGCACCACCATAATAATCGACGTATTCTTGTATTTGAGATTTCCTGCTACCGGAAGCAGGCTCGTTTACCGGCATTTTGATAAATTCGTTGTTGGACGCCATAACAATCGATCGCAATGAAGAATATTGTGTATGGATTTGTTTGTCATCAACTGACCAGAAGCGATGGAAACCAAAGACTTTCTCATACCTGAATAGGAAATAATATTGTTTTAGTCTGTCGTGATTTCTCTAATATTAAAAGGGGTAAAAACTGCAACTCGGTTGACTAAAGACACTTGCATTTCACAAACTTTTGTCATTTCGTCATCAGGCTGATTTCCGACGACATGATCCAAATACATTAGTCCCACATTCGGCAAACTATCTTCCAACGGATCTTTCCCTTTTATGACTTCGTATCCGGGTAAGAAAACACCCTTATATGCTTTCCTTTCTATGAAAGTATGTACTGTATCTCCGTAAGTAGCTACAGTAGCCATGACGACAGCACCATTTTCATCCTTTTCTTCCCACGGCTCTTTTATTGGCGTAGCACCACGTTTGAGAGCTTGACGGAAAACGGCCCGGCAATCATCAACGGTAAATGCGACATCTCGAACGCCGTCACCATGAGTTACGAGGTGAGGGCCGAGAACCTTGTCATTAGGCGAAAGGGCTGATTGAAAAACAAATGTTATCTTGCCTTGACGGACCACGTGAGATACAATGTCTCGTTGGCCTGTCTCGAGCCCTCGATAGCAAATGTGACGGAAACCCAATCGTGTTGTATAATACGAGGCAGCTACAATTATGAATCAAGAAAATTGCGTCAGTAAAGCTTATTTATGCAGAGACATATACTAAAGTCATATATATATACCTTGCTTCGCATTTCCAACCCAAAAAACAACGTGATCTGTATGCGATTAAAAAAGATCGGGTTAAAAAAAAGGAGAAAATCCACACATATAAAGAGGTTAACAAGTTGTCTTTACCAAAGGATTCGTATGTTCCTAACTCTTTTGTAGACATGGCTATTTGATAAAAGTAGATGTTGTCAATGTTGTATATATATATATATGAACGAGAACGTTGTGCGCTGGACCTGAGTTCCCACACGAAGCTTTCAATGAACTGCCTCAGAAGGAAATTCGTGCAACATATGACATAATTGCAGCTCAAAGCAACAATCCGAGTATTGATTTTTGCGATGATCACTACTTTGCCCCTTAGCCTCTCATACCCATTTGAATATAATGTCATTGTTTGTCTACGGACTATCAATTTTTCCATCAGCAGTACAATAGAACAGACCGCGGATCGAAAGTCAGGATTTACGCTTAACTAATAATTTTTTGTAAAGTTGTCTTTGATGACATATTTTTGACTTGATTCTTCTTGGTAGATATATCACACTTCACGCCTCTCTGATGCAGAACAATGAACATGATATCGGGCGTTCTTTTTTGCATGTGGATATATATATTTAGCATGCATACATTCTCAAAGAGAGGATATTCGGAATCGCTAAAATCAAAAAAAAAGTTCACACATATTAATATACCATTAAAATAGACAATCAAATGCCAAAAATAGCGATCGTAAAAACGCCCAGCTTGACTTGCAACAGGAATAAAAGAATAATAACCAATCGGTTTAGATTTTCATCGAAAGAAGACTCATTTTACTTTGTATTGCGTCAACAAACGTTATCTTTGAAAATATGATATCAAGTCTTGCAAACGGCTAGTTATTCCAATATTCCGAATGAATTATGAGGGCCAATTGAACAATTGTCTAACCATATGTTTTCTGCTTAACGTGTGCAAAGGTTGCAATTGAAAGGATTAACTTACCAATAGTCCGAAATCGTGTGACTCGTGATAAGACCGAAAAAGTAATTTTCAAAGGGTTCGTCGATATTAAGTTTTTACGAGATGCGTTGTTCAACAAGAGTGTCTATTAAACGAAACCTATTACTATCACTTGCCAATTTAATTTTGTATAACTGCCCCCTCATTGCTATACTTCAACATACAAACATGCTTACCGGTTTATCGGGATCAGAATTTCTCACGCAGCCATTCCAATGCATTGCGTTGTTGTAGCGCAAATTTGTTAGACGAAACTATAAACTATTCATTTTACATTGATTGGTTTACGAATATGAAGAGAGAGAGCACGTGTAATGGATTTTGAGCATCTTTTCCACTTACACTAAGCATGTTGCGTTCTATTTATCGATTATGACACCTAATGTCATGAATGTAAGCAAGTAATTGCGAAAGCTGGAAATGCCCGCTTACCCGACAGATAATTGTTGCTACGAAGGGGGGAGTCTGTATGATACCTGACCTGATCGTCTAAACTCTGTAGGATATAAGGGAGACAGCTGTTATCTCTAAGGGGACTATCACAAAGGGGTTTGTAATATTGCTCTTTACCGCAAAGAGAATATTAATTGGGGCAATGCTGAGACAAAACCAGACAAAGCGAACATTCTATAAATGAGGTGCTGATTATGATGATTGACCAGTATGACTGAACATTTTGAAAGTAATAATGGTGCTCATTCATAACTTATTATTATGGACTTGTTAATTTTTAATGTTCACTTTATCATACCAGGATATGATGAATATAATGATTAATATACTGTAGATATCGGTAGTGTCACAAACATAGGGGCCTCTTATAAATATGGCTTTTCATATAAGAGGTCCCCTGTGTTTGTGACACTACCCCCCAATTTAATACTGTTACTGTAGGCCCGTTCCGAAAACGTTGGCGCGTGTCACATAAATCCGCATAGTTGAATATAAGGTGTTAATTGGTGCCCTAACTTGCGAAACGCATCATTTTTTAACAATTAACGTGCTATTACTATCAATTTCGAGGCCTGCAATAAAATCATGATGGGACTGATTTGTAACTCGTTTCGGCTGGCAATAGTGTAAGCGATTGGGTAATGCGATTAACATTTCTACCCGGACTTGGTAATCCATGAATTTCAGCATAGTTTTCGAGAAAATTCTTCACGGTTATTTTGGTCTTCCATCGCGCACTTTTTTTACATTACCATGAACGCGCGGTATTATACCATTCGTCGCTAGGTGATTTCTGACATTTTCGAAGTGCGTGCGGCCAATTCCTAACATATTGAGATGAGTTTTTTGGTGAAGAAGCGTATTGCGATCTCAATAATAAAGGTGCTTTTATTGGTACGCGTTTTCCTTTAAGACGTCGGCTGGCAGTGCTTTCAGTTGGGCCATTAAAAATATATCTTGTTCAGATATAAAGGGCTTGAATGCCTCACGTAACTCGGCAAACTTTTCTTTGGAACCTTTATTGAGCAAACACAAACGCAGTCTAGCTCCAAAAATGTATGACTTTTCTGTATTCGCTTGAATCGTTATATTCCTTTATTTTGGTAATCCTATACATTGATATTGTTTTATTTAACTTTCGATAAACCACCCTATTAATTTTTCACAGTGCGTTTGGTCTTGGAGCTTACACCGTGTGTTTCTCAGATAATTTGTATTTATCTCTTCTTTATTCTGTCTTCTCTTCAACTACACCTAGTTACCTGGCTACTTTGTCTTTGATCTGATTGCATCAACATATGCAGTCTGTAATATTAGACACGTAAAATCAGTCTTGTTGTTATCATAACTATCGACGTTAAGACTCTTCCTGGATGTCAATGCATATGAGATATCTGTTTTTTGGTACACACGCGATCTGTCTGTCTATTATGTACCTAAATCAATTATGATTATGCGTGTTAATTAACAGAGCATCCTAGCATTTTGTGTTGCATGCCTTGTTTCTGTCGTCTACCCGTAATCATCTTGCCAGGTGTATCTTCTCTGCTTCCCCTCTAGCTGTCTCGCTATGCCGGCAAGCTTTTTCGTTCAACACCAAGCGATATCCGTTCTAACTGATGTGCGTTTTGCAGATATTATTGTATTGATGTGACTGCGTTCAATCATACGATTATAAACCAGGATTTTTACCTGTCGGGTTTTGGCTATCGTCTTCGTCATGAATGAACAGGGTTAATTTGTTTTTGCTTTGCTGGATCATCCCCCTGTCAACTTGCGGTTTATTTACAACCAAAAAGTCATCACCTCTTTACAGATACTTTTTGCAACACAACTTTGGTGTGTCTGTTCTGGATGTCCCTTTTGCACGATAGACTTGGCATGCAACATAGGGGAAGAAACTTGTACTTTCACGACCAAGATATCAATACCATTTACATTGTATATTATTGTCTAAAAATAATAATTATAATAAAACACCCAGTCACTGAAGCATACTTTGCCGCACATAGTTAGAGCATTGCCATATTTAATAATATCTGGACAGCAAACTTTATTTAACCAATGCTTTCATCATTGACATTCTCCAAGAATGTTCAATAAGATGGGGATTACACTCAAAGCAAAGGGCAATCTATGGATGAAAAGCAACAAAACTAATGCAGAGAAGGGAGAAAATACGTGGGCGGTTCAAAAAGGTTTGACAGAGAGGCGTATAAAATTTATTTACATAATAAACATCAATCTAACTATTTTATTCTTTCAAAATACTCTCTTTTAACTTTCATACAACGTCTCAGCCTTTTACGCTGACTCTGAAAATACTCAGCATACTCGTCTTGTGGTATGCTGTTGGTCTTTATTTATAACATTGCTGAACATTTTGAATCCTCTCAAACCTTTTTCCACCAAGTTTTTTTTTATTTTAGAAATAAAAAAGAAGTTGCATGATACCAGATCAGGACTATGTATAGTAGGGAGAAATATGACTCGTTCTTCCTGAAAGTACCGTAGAGCGCTGACTAAAGGACCCCGGGTATTTTACATTTCACTTTTTTTTGAGGGTACGTTACTCGGTGGGTACTTTGGTACACCCATAGTAATACATTGACAGCCCCCTAGTGTTTACGTAACACGTTCTATGTAAATAAAGACAATGCAACGCATACATGGATTCATATTCTTTTTCTCGATACCCACACAGGAAAATTCGCAAGCCATCTTACTTAATTTTAGCAAAGTGGGTGAAGCAAGCATGAGATGATATTGATGTCCATCTTATTATTAAGTCATTTAGATGCTGTGGAATTTCGCTTGATCAGTCAGGAAAAGATGATGAGTGGTTGTTTAACTACGAACGTTTACACGAGAACAACGAAGATGGGAGGTATAATGAGAATGATGCCATTGACATTCATTCGGATAATGAAAATACCGAACCATCAGAGTCAACCGGACAGCTACAGATCGATAACATAGACGAAGATATGTTGGAAAACTATGAAAATGACTGGTGAGGCCCACACATATTCTTACATTAGGCAAAATCTCTCATTGTACAAATAAAATAAGCGTTTCGTTAAAAGTTATTATGATGACTTGTAAAGTTTGCCTCTACACAATATGTTTAAAGTATACGTCACAGCATACAGTCAAACCTCTTTATACCGATATTCTTATACCGATAACTGGTTATACCGATGAAATTTCGTTTACCCAAACCAGTCCTATTATTTTGTACTGCTTATACCGATAAACTCTAATAAATCTCTTTATAAGCTATACCGATACAATCTTCGGAACGGTTTATTAGTGTTGATATGAAATTTTCTCTGATTATACCGATATTCTTGTGCAACACCAAAATTGACCAATCAACTTGTCTCAG